TAAAGAAACATGGTGGCGCTTGCAATCATTCTCTATTATGAAAAAATCGACCCTATAATTGTGTTGACCTAGAAAAACCTTCAAAAATAAAACGAAATTGACATCTCGGAGATGGTCCACTTGCCAGTTCAGTTCCAGACTCTTACTGGGAAGGGCTTAACATCTCGGGGTAATCAAGTATTAAGGTGTGTAGTATGTGCTGCTTGTTACTAAAAAATCTCTGCACCCAGAAGAGGCCAGCTACGTCCAGGGTCGGACTGACCATTTGGAAACTCGGGCACTGCCCAAGGGTCCAGGGTCAGTAGGGGGCCCCATGAGATGCCCCTGGTACCTTTTTCATAGGCTTTTTTGAGCTTGGGCAAAGACACAGGGGCCCCATGATCCCCTATTGCCCGGGGCCCAATGAGTTGTCAGTCCACCCCTGGGTACGTCGTACCTGTACATTGCGGTTGGGCGGGGGCGGCGGTCCTGAAGTAGTTAAGGTGGAGAAGGTATCATGACTGATTGTAAGCATTTCTGACAAAAGTGAGTCTATCCCAACAGAGAGGATTAGGACAGACTGAGTTTCCTCTCATTGACATACAATGGAGAAACGTCTAAATCTTTAACTCTCTTAGCGTAGACATTGTTCAAATCTAGTTTACAACTGCTATTAAGATCTGCCAGCGCAGTACAGACATGGTTAGCTTTGGCAAGCACAACTCCCCAGTACTCTCAAACAAAAAAGAAAAGGAAGCAGGGTTTTCAGTGCAGAAAAGAGCATCTAAAATGGTAATCAGCAAAATCTTTAAATAGTTTTTTTTTAAAGATTTGCTATGCGAATGCGAACATTTAAACAATGTAAAGTGGGCGACATCCCAATTTGGCAAATACACTTTAAATTTAGTTGAAAAGTTTCTTTTTATTTTAACAAAACACCCACTGCCCTTGGGCAGTGCCCGAGTTTCCAAATGGTCAGTCCGCCCCTGCTGCTACATGTCTTTGCTAAAAAAAAAACCCAATACATGTAAATTAATTGGTTTACATGAAATTTATAGCGTTTACAAATGGTGGTATATATACTGGGGTTTTTTATTTTTAAGTACAAAAATACATAGACTGCGCTAGTAAAAAAATATATTAAAATAAATAACCGTGACAATAAATAAATCATGTAAAACTCCCAAAAAACAAAAATAAAAAAAAACAAAATCATATCAAACATATAAAGTCCCAAAAATATATAATAGTAATAATGAAAAAATTCAAATAAAATCCACCAAGTGTGTCCACCACCAAATAAAATGAATAAACTCACCAGAGCAATATGCTGATCATATTATAAACCAGCATAAACACTTTTCTGCTCTGGGAGCAACGATCTGTAGACAGTTGAGACAGAAGCTTGTCTTGGAAAAAACGATCTCCACTACCCCTGGAGCAATAGACTCTGACTCTGTAGATCCCAGGGGCGGACTGACCATTTGGAAACTCGGGCACTTCCCGAGGGCCCGGGGGTCAGTAGGGGGCCCCATGAGATGCCCCTGGTACCTTTTTCATAGACTTTTTTGAGTTTGGGCAAGAACACAGGGGCCCCGTGATCCCCTATTGCCCGGGGCCCCATGAATTGTCAGTCCGCCCCTGGTAGATCCACTTCATTCAAACACCATCCTTGTCATCGGGTATTGGAATAGCCACTCGGAAAATATAAAGAATAGAAGCTCATGGTGCAGTACCTCTTAAAATAGTTGCTTTATTAAAAAACTTATCACTTACAAAACACTGTTTTTTATTTTTACTCACATTGCTTAAAACCTGAAGTGCAGATAAATTCTACAGAGGTGTGGTGTCACTTTATGTTCCCGGAACACCGCTGGTTTGCATTCTCAACTCACCGGAAGTGGTGTCAATCGTAAAGACAGGAACCGGAAATCGTGTCAATGTGCTTTTCTCAATTGAAAAAGCCCTTTGAAAGGGGCAAAACGCATTGACGCGACTTACAGTTCCTGGCTATATGAGTGACGTCACGTCCGGAGAGTGGAGTGCACACGAACCAATGGTGTTCCGGGAACATAAAGCGACACCACACCTCTGTACAATTTTATCTGCAATTCAGGTTTTAAACAATGTGAGTGTGATTTTAACCTCCTTGGCGGTATGATTCTTTCCGATTTTCTGTGCTCAAAGCGGTACCATTTTTTTGCATGGAAATATGTAGTTTTTTATTGTAGGCTGTAATTTTTAGGAATAACTCACTGAAATCTGTCCGAACAAGAGTCTAGTAAACCTTCCGGGTATGATAAAATTTGAAACACGAAATCATAAATTATAATTTAATAAATAATCATAAAAAATAATAATAAAAATTTAATTCAATAATATAATCAAACCAAAAACACTGAAATTTGAAATATAGCGCCAAGTTCGCACATCGCTGAGCAAAGTCGCAAAATCGTTTTCAGTGTCTGATGACGAATTTCCCCCACGAATCATTATCACTCAATTCTGCAAGTGGTTCTGATTTACTATCGCTGTTCTCTCTAGCCGGTCTAAAACCGCTTTTGATGTAAAGGGACGCTTTTTGGACGCCATGGACTTTTCTAAGTTTCCAGGCAGAAAGAACATTCAAAATGCAGGCAGGGCACAGGACAAAGCACTCGGGACAAAATATATGTGAAATGCATTGAAACAGCAATGACAGCAAAAATGACATTTTTTAAAAATTTCAAATTTCCCGCTCTCCCGACGTCACAGGGACCAGAACACAGAAGCCGGATGCCGGCATCGGCCGGAGGAGATGGCCGGGGACACTGCAGGGGACACATCGTGGGAGCTAAGGACAAGGTAAGTGCTGCAGGGACCCCCCGAGCAGCGCCGCATGGTAAGCCCGAGTGTAGCTCGGGGTTACCGCTCTTGGGATAGAAATTTTACCCCGAGCTACACTCGGGAATACCGCCAGGGAGCTTAATCAATTTTAAATAAATAAAATAATATTCTATGAGAGTTCTCTCCCCACCTCTGTTTTTTTGTTCTGCTTGTTTGCATCCCCCTCCCCTCTGCTGCCACATTTGGCACTTTTTTGGGGGGAGCAGAGATATGGTTTTGACAGTTACCTGCTCCCACTTCCGGTCAGATGCTCTGCGGTGATCTGTTCCTGAAGTTCAGCGCCCCCTCTTTTCCCCCGCAGCTTTCTGGGCAGGGGCGGACTGACCATTTGGAAACTCGGGGACTGCCCAAGGGCCCGGGGTCAGTAGGGGGCCCCATGAGATGCCCCTTGTACCTTTTTCATAGACTTTTTTGAGTTTGGGCAAGGACACAGGGGCCCCATGATCCCCTATTGCCCGGGGGTCCCATGAGTTGTCAGTCAGTCTGGGATACTTCACAGGTCCCAGAAGTCTGAGTGCAGAGCGCCGCAAGGCTTCACAGCCGATTTCCCATACTTAAAATGCCGGCGCCTGCACCCAAAGCCAATTGAAGATTCGCCTCAGCTGAGAACATTTGTATTTGTAGCTGCTGACTTTTAATTTTTTTAGGGGGGTCTGGAGCTCTGCTTTAATGTGTATGTAACCCCTGATGTACTGTTAAATTTACAACAGTTCAATATGTGCAAAAATACCTGTTGATCTTTCCAGAAATCCAGAAAGCAGAGAGCACAGGAGGTTATTAGTTATCATTGTTCCCAGCTATCTCTGAGGACTACAGAATCCCCCCACCCATCTTATGGAGAAGATGGGGGTTGTTCTGTAGTCCTGTGCTAAGGTGACAATGCTGCTCTTCCAAAGATAAAGTACAGTCAGTGAGCATTGTTATCCTAGGGCGAGGAATGTTTACTGGCAGGATCAACAGGTACAAATAATGGAAAAAAGCTTAAAAAATGAATTAAAACATCACAACCAGGCCTGGCGAATTGTTGTATATTGTTTTTTTTTTTTTTTGGGGGGGGGGGGGTCTAGATCCACTTTATATGCAGCGACTCAAAGCAACCAATTGAATTAATCTCATTCTGGTATCAAGCAGAGTGATTGATTGGTATGAGTTCCATCACTAAAGCTGGCTATAGATTGGGGGGGTCAGCAACTCGTAGATCGTGATCTACCAGTATATTGTGGTCAGGTGACTAGTAGATCTTGGTGTGGGCTTGCTGACCCGCCATCCCAGAGCATCAATCAGAGTGCAATGTAGAGGGACTACTCGTAAAGTTGGAGCTGTAGTAGGGAGCAAGAGCCGCATAAGTTGATGTCTCCTCTGTAGTTCCGGCTCCTGTCCCATGTCATGGTTGGTGGGTGTACCACCTGCCAAGCATGACCCATTCAAGTAAATGAATGAGACTGCTCTGCAAGTGCCCGGCAACCTTGTGCAGTACAGCAAACAAGGGGTTAAACAGGCAGCAGTGTTTTGCTTTCTCACCACCTTCCCCCCCTCACCCCTTGGATCCCGCAGATGTATACAATTGCGGGGTATCTGCAGAGTGGCCCTATTTACTTGAATGGGTCTCGATTAACAGGCAGTAACACCCACCAAAAGTAACAGAGGGTGTAATTTCTTCACCTTTTGGCTGCTGCCTCAGCAGCTAAAGAGGGTAGGGACTGGGGCTGATAAAACTGTGACTCAACCGCAGGGTTTTACCACCCCCTCCTCCCCAACTATACATGTGAACGAGCCACTGCCGGATGCAAGGACTCATTCACAAGTTCAGCAGCCACTGCTGCTCCTCTGGAAAGTGATCTGAGTGTGTTTGACAGGCAGTGAGGAGGTGATATGTGGGGGCCTCCTCAACACTTGATTTAACTACTTGCCAACCACAGATAGCCGAATGACGGCTACACTGCGGCCGGCCTGTTCTGGGAGGGTGTCATATGACGTCATCCCAGAACGTGCTCGCGGGGGCGCGCACCCAGCAATCTCCGTGATCTCTGTGTCCTACGGACACAGCTGATAACATGATGTGGTAAAAGGCCAATCACAGCAGCCTTTTACCACGTGATCAGCCGTGTCCAATGACACACTGATCACCAGAAAATGCAATTGCTGGTTCTCGGCTGCACTTTCCTCACGCTGTCAGATTGTGAGGAAAGTACTGCCGAGAACCGGCAGTTGTCAGAGTAGGGATCGGCACTGATCATCAGGGCACTGATGATCAGTGCCCTGATGATCGGTGCCCAGCAGCGCCACCCACCAGTTCTGCCCACTAGCTCCGCCCACCTGTGCCCAGCAGTGCACCCACCTGTGCTCAGCAGCGCCACCCACCAGTTCCGCCCACCTGTGCCGCCCACTAGCTCCACCCACCTGCGCCCAGCAGTGCACCCACCTGTGCTCAGCAGCGCCACCCACCAGTTCCGCCCAGCAGTGCCGCCCACTAGCTCCGCCCACCTGTGCCCAGCAGTGCGCCCACCTGTGCCCAGCAGTGCCACCTACCTGTGCCCAGCAGTGCACCCACCTGTGCCCAGCAATGCCACCCAGCAGTGCCACCTACCCGTGACCAGAAGTGTCACCTACCTGTGCCCATCAGTGCCACCCACCTGTGCCTACCCATCTGTGCCCACCAGTGCCACCCACCAGTGCCCATCAATGCAGCCCAGCAATGCTGCCAGTCAGTGCCTAGCAGTTGTGCCAGTCAGTGCCCAGCAGTTGCGCCAGTCAATGCCTAGTAGTGCCACCAGTCAGTGGCCAGCAGTGATGCCAGTCAGTGCCACCTATCAGTGCTGTCTATCAGTACCCATCATCAGTGCCGCCTATCCGTGACACCTCATTAGTGCTGCCTATCAGTGCCGCCTATCCGTGACACCTCATTAGTGCTGCCTATCACTGCCCATCAGTGCTGCCTATCAGTACCCATCAGTGCTGCCTATCAGTACCCATCAGTGCTGCCTATCAGTACCCATCAGTGCTGCCTATCAGTGCCCATCAGTGCTGCCTCATCAACGCACATCAGTGAAGGAGAAAAATTAACTGTTTGAAAAATTTTATAATAGAAACAAAGAAACTTTTATTTTTTTTTCAAATTATTTGCACACTTTTTGTTTATAGCGCAAAAAGTAAAGTGCCCAGCGGCGATTAAATACCACCAAAAGAAAGCTCTATTTGTGAGAAAAAAATGATAAACATTTTATATGGGTACAATCTTGCATGACCGCGCAATTGTCAATCAAAGTGGGACAGCGCTGAAAGCTGAAAATAGGCCTGGGCAGGAAGGGGGTATAACAGCCCGGTAGGCAAGTGGTTAAACCCATGATTGCTGTGCAATGCATGCGACTGACACGATAGTACGGCAATTAGAAGTTTAAATCAGTTGTGAGGAGGTGACACTGGCCGACACTGTTCCTGGTGATCTTTGTCTTCTCCCACATTGTTTAGGTAGATCATCACCTCTTTGAGGTTGCCTACCCCCGCTGTAGATGAATAAAAACCCAACAGAAGGCACCGGACCAGGGGTGGACTGACCATTTGGGGTTCAGTAGGGGGCCCCATGAGATGCCCCTGGTACCTTTTTCATAGGCTTTTTTGAGTGTGGGCAAGGACACAAGGGCTCCATGATCCCCTATTGCCCGGGGGGCCCCATGAGTTGTCAGTCCGCCCCTGCACCGGACAAGTTTCAATCCATGTGTGGCTGCTCCTGCTCGACAGAAATTGATCTAACAATTGACTTCTGTTGGACAGGCTTATTGGAAATGTGTTCTCCATCAGTGGCTGTAGTTATTGATCAGTGTGTTCCACAATCAGATTACAATGGCACAGTGGGTAGGATTCCTCCATCCACCTCGCTTGTGTGGACAGAGAATTCTGTCCCGCTGGCTGATTGAAAAAAAACAAACAAACCCCAACGAATCATCTATGCCGGCCTTAGGAACTTTATTGAATACGGTGTGGAAATCTGATATAGACATTTTTATTGAACCCCTGTGTCTGATACAGCTAGGGGCGGACTGACAACTCATGGGGCCCCCGGGCAATAGGGGATCATGGGCCCCTGTGCCCTTGCCCAAACTCAAAAAAGCCTATGAAAAAGGTACCAGAGGTATCTCATGGTGCCCCCGGGCAGTGCCTGAGTTTCCAAATGGTCAGTCCGCCCCTGCCCAGAAGGCTGCGGGGAAAGGAACTTTAGGTACAGATCACCACAGAGCATCTGACCGGAAGTGGGAGCAGGTACCTGTCAAAACCATATCTCTGATACCCCTAAAAAAGTGCCAAATGTGGCAGCAGAGGGGAGGAGGATGCAAACAAGCAGAACAAAAAAACCAGAGGTGGGGAGAGAACTCTCATAGAATATTATTTTATTTATTTAAAATTGATTAAAATCACACTCACATTTTTCAAAACCTGAATTGCATTTAAAATTGTACAGAGGTGTGGTGTCGCTTTATGTTCCCGGAACACCATTGGTTCGTGTGCACTCCACTCTCCGGACGGGACGTCACTCCTTTAGCCAGGAACTGTAAGTCGCGTCAATGCGTTTTGCCACTTCCAAAGGGATTTTTGGTCAGTCCGCCCCTGCCCAGAAGGCTGTGGGGAAAGGAGGGGGCGCTGAACTTTAGGTACAGATCACCGCAGAGCATCTGACCGGAAGTGGGAGCAGGTACCTGTCAAAACCATATCTCTGCTACCCCTAAAAAAGTGCCAAATGTGGCAGCAGAGGGGAGGAGGATGCAAGCAAGCAGAACAAAAAAAATTGTACAGAGGTGTGGTGTCGCTTTATGTTCCCGGAACACCATTGGTTCGTGTGCACTCCACTCTCCGGACGTGACATCACTCATATAGCCAGGAACTGTAAGTCGCGTCAATGTGTTTTGCCACTTCCAAAGGGCTTTTTGGTCAGTCCGCTCCTGGATACAGCGTGTGATATGAATAAGACGATATCTCTGAAATCAAGATTAAAATCAACAAAATAAAATTGATAGAAAAATGACATAAGAAGGTTTAGAATAAATAACGTTTACTACAGTTTACAGCATGGAAACAGTGCAAGATGTATTCACATTATGGAGGGATTGTAAAGTGGACATTGCATTGGATAGTGGAGAAGATAGCGAAGCCGTAATGTGGTCAATGGATGGGGACTTCTTGATCATGTCTTCCCGTGTTTCACTTTTTTGCTGGTGCAGTAATAATAAACACCTCATACTGGATCAGTGATCATAATTGTTTTATGCTGGACAATACCCAGTTATTTTCCAGGAACACAGCATCTAGAACAACAAGATAAATATATTACCACCACAGCGCATATTCTAATTTGCATCATCTTCTTTTCCCAAAACAATAGAATCTAGCATACTACATTAAGGAGGGTTAGTGTGAGGATTACAGGGAGAGTTAGTGTTGAGGTTATAGAAAGAGTTAGTGTTAGGGTCACAGAAGGCTTAGTGTTGAGGTTACCGGAAGGGTTAGTTTGAGGGTTTCAAGGATGTTAGTGTTAAGGTTATAGAAAGAGTTAGTGTTAGGGTCACAGAAGGCTTAGTGTTGAGGTTACCGGAAGGGTTAGTTTGAGGGTTTCAAGGATGTTAGTGTTAAGGTTATAGAAAGAGTTAGTGTTAGGGTCACAGAAGGCTTAGTGTTGAGGTTACCGGAAGGGTTAGTTTGAGGGTTTCAAGGATGTTAGTGTTAATAGAAAGAGTTAGTGTGAGAAAGAGTTAGGTTACAGAAGGCTTAGTGTTGAGGTTACCGGAAGGGTTAGTTTGAGGGTTTCAAGGATGTTAGTGTTAAGGTTATAGAAAGAGTTAGTGTTAGGGTCACAGAAAGGATTAGTGTTGAGGTTACTGGAATGGTTCATTTGATGGTTTATATGAGGGTTACAGGAAGGGTCAGTGCAAGGTTTTTGGAAGGATTAGTGTTAGGATTACAGAAAGCATTTTGTTAACATTGCAGGGTGGGTTAGTGTTAGGGTTACAGAAAAGCTTAGTGTTGAGGTTACAGGGAGGGTTGGTGTGAGGGTTTCAGGGGTGTTAGTGTTATGGTCACGGAGAGGGTTCATATGAGGGTTACAGGAAGGGTCAGTGCTAGGTTTTTGGAAGGATTAGTGTTAGGATTACAGAAAACATTTTGTTAACGTTGCAGGGTGGGTTAGTGTTAGGGTTACAGAAAAGCTTAGTGTTGAGGTTACAGGGAGGGTTGGTGTGAGGGTTTCAGGGGTGTTAGTGTTATGGTCACGGAGAGGGTTCATATGAGGGTTACAGGAAGGGTCAGTGCTAGGTTTTTGGAAGGATTAGTGTTAGGATTACAGAAAACATTTTGTTAACGTTGCAGGGTGGGTTAGTGTTAGGGTTACAGAAAAGCTTAGTGTTGAGGTTACAGGGAGGGTTGGTGTAAGGGTTTCAGGGGTGCTAGTGTCATGGCTACGGGGAAGGTTGGTGTTACGGTTATAGGAAGGGTTAGTGATAGGGTTACAGGTTTAGTGTTAGGGTTATAGAAATGATTAGTGTTGACGTTACAGGAAGGGTTAGTTTGAGGTTTTCAGGGGTGTTAGTGTTAAGGTTATAGGATGGGTTAGTTACAGATTGATTTAGTGTTAGGGTTACTGGAAGGGTTAGTTTGAGGTTTTCAGGGGTGTTAGTGTTAAGGTTATAGGATGGGTTAGTTACAGATTGATTTAGTGTTAGGGTTACTGGAAGGGTTAGTTTGAGGTTTTCAGGGGTGTTAGTGTTACGGTCACAGGGAGGGTTCATATGAGGGTTACAGGAAGGGTCAGTGCTAGGTTGGTAGGAAGGGTTAGTGTTAGGATCACAGAAAGCATTTTGTTACAGTTGCAGGGTGGTTAGTGTTAGGGTTACAGAAAAGCTTACTGTTGAGGTTACAGGGAGGGTTGGTGTAAGGGTTTCAGGGGTGCTAGTGTCATGGCTACGGGGAAGGTTGGTGTTACGGTTATAGGAAGGGTTAGTGATAGGGTTACAGGTTTAGTGTTAGGGTTATAGAAATGATTAGTGTTGACGTTACAGGAAGGGTTAGTTTGAGGTTTTCAGGGGTGTTAGTGTTAAGGTTATAGGACGGGTTAGTTACAGATTGATTTAGTGTTAGGGTTACTGGAAGGGTTAGTTTGAGGTTTTCAGGGGTGTTAGTGTTACGGTCACAGGGAGGGTTCATATGAGGGTTACAGGAAGGGTCAGTGCTAGGTTGGTAGGAAGGGTTAGTGTTAGGATCACACAGAAAGCATTTTGTTACAGTTGCAGGGTGGTTAGTGTTAGGGTTACAGAAAAGCTTACTGTTGAGGTTACAGGAAGGGTTAATATGAGGGTTTTAGGGGTGTTAGTGTTACGGCTACAGGGAGGGTTAGTGTTTTGGTTATAGGAAGGGTTAGTGTTAGGGTTACAGGTTGGGTTAGTGTTAGGGTTATAGAAAGGATTAGTGTTGAGGTTACAGGAAGGGTTAGTTTGAGGTTTTCAGGGGTGTTAGTGTTACGGCTACATGGAGGGTTAGTGTTAGGATTACAGAAAGCATTACTGTTGAGGTTACAGGAAGGGTTAGTTTGAAGGTTT